CAGCTTCTCACTGAATGACTGGTTAGAGTGAGGTTTTATTTTATCTGCCTCTCTGCTGTGAATCACACTGAGCTCTGAGCTGCTGCTGCTCTACGAGCCACAGCCTCAGAAGGACAATCGTCCCATCAAACCGGGAAAATTAGGTTTGTTTTTTTAGTTCAGTGTGTGGAAATGTAAAGTAAATGTAAGTAGAAATTAGATTATACAGTGTGACATAAATATATACATATCTCTTTTAATTAGCTTATCTTTTTCCCCTTTGCAATAATTATCTTATTTATTTATCGTCCGTTATAATCTTCAACTTTATTTATGAACATTATACAATATTTTTGTCTGTTTTATTCTTCCTTTGTATTTTTTTACCCTATTTATTTCTGCCTGTTGTTTCTACATTTCTGTCTGCATTTCTGCCTCATTATGCCAAAGAGGAGGGGGTGCATCTTAAAGGCAAATAGATTACAATACATCTCTAAATGGATAAAACATAATCCCTTAGACGAGCCCTGGATAGACACAGAACAGGAATTATGCAGTAATATCATCATTTCAGATTTTGTTTTTAAAAAAATTGTAACAACACCACTTTTTAACAGATTCATTAACTTGTTTATATATGTTATTAGTAATTATTGGCATTAATAAGGTTATTCATTTTTATTGTTGATGTTTAAAGGACCAGATATGGACAAATTCTGCGCCACAGAAGCGATGGAGAACTGGTGGAAAGATGGTGATAGAACCAAACGACCAGGATTCAGCTCTTGGGGAGAGAATACTGCAGAGCAGCAGCTGGATGATGAATTTAATCTATACTATAATACACGCTAGATTAAAAATGATCAGTCAGGGATTAGGAAAATAATAATAATAATTGTATGCGCACAGTGTAAATATTTTTATCAGATGGCAGTCTTCTGTACAGTGGTCATACATTAAAAAATGTTCATTAAATTTTGTCTCACCAATCTCAAATTGGTGAGTAGTAGTAGTGAAAGTTTTTAACCTGT